CCGTCGGCCCCCTCCCCCTCATCATCCCCAGCGCCCTCGCTGCTGCCCTCGTCCTCCTCCTCCTCGCCACCATTGCCGCCGCCGCCCTCCTCCTCCTCCTCCTCCCCTTCCTCCTCGTCGTCCGCAGCCGCCGCCGACGGCCCCAGGTTGCCAAAAAACGCGGCGCCTCGGTCCTTCTTCTTCTTGCCCTTGGCCTTGCCGCCGCCGCCCGGCCGCTCCTTCGCCTCGCCGGGCGTCACCGCCCGTACCTCGCGCCCCCAGGGGCCCCACTCGGGCTGGCCGCTCCAGGTCAGCGTCCCCTGCTCGCCCGTCCGCGCGCGGAATACGTACTCGGTACCTGTCACAACGCCGTTTGGGAGGCGGGAGGGGGAGGCGGGTGCCTTATTAGAGGGCGAAGACAGCGGCTGTGGGCGCAGCACAGGGTCGGGGCTCGAGCGGTCCCACATCGGCACGCCCGCTGCTGAAATGGTCCACGGCCAAATCCGCCCCACTGTTCTCGTATTGTTTTGACAAAGGTAACCAAAACCCTCAGCCGGCAACACACATAAGCATGGGCACTCATGAACTCATGTACACACACATGTACTCACACTCACACATCCACATACACACACTTGCGCGCAACACATGCAACACGCACCACACACACACACACACACACACACACACACACACAACACACTTTTCTGCACACATGCGCTCGCGCGCATACACGCCCACCCACACACACACACACACACACACACATAACGTAGTTGCGCGCACGCACACACACACACACACACACACACACGCACGCACGTGCGCACGCTCGCACCCCCCCACCGCCGCCCCCCCACCACACCACACACACACACACACACGCGCGCGATGTGAGGCCCACCTGGCGCCAGCTGGAGGACCATCGCCTCTGTCTCCCGCGGCCCAGGAACCAGCGTCCACTTGCGCGCGCCGCCGCTGTCTGCGCGCGCGTACGACACATCCCAGTCGGCGCCGACAGGGGGCACCTGGTGGGACAGGGGAGGGGGGCGACAAAACGCGGCGCGGCGCCGCGCGGTCTCAGGGCTTGCTGCCGTGGGCTGCCGGCGAGCCATGCACCGCAAACAGGCCGCCAGCCGCCGCCGCGGGCGGCCGGGCCAGGGCGCTGCGTGGCACGCCGCTGGGGCTCTGCCGCGGCTTTTGCGGCGGGGGAAACTGACACGGGGAGGGGTGCAGCTGCGGGGCCACCGGCTGCACCCCGACTACCTCTAAGCTCTCGAGCAACACCGCCTAGTCATGCACCTATGCACGCATGCATCCACCCTGATCGCCCGACCACACGCAGGAAAACACACGCTCGTATGCAGCAGCACACTCCCCCACCCGTACGCGCCGCAAGCTCGGGCGATGAGCCACCCACCGGGCAGCCCTCCAGCAGGCTGGTGTCGGCAACCCTCAGCTTAGCAGTGACGCGGCCGGATGGGGGCTGCGACGCGCCGTAGGCCGGCGCCGGCGTGACCTCCAGCAGCGCCGGCTGGCGCAGGAAGTGCTGCCTGATTATTTTTTCCTGCGGAGGGTGGTGGAGGTGTTGGTAGGTGCGTGGAGGATTGTCATCATGAGTCACAGACGGGTATGATGAGCAGAGGTGGGTGGGGGATGGTTGCGTGTGGCATTAGGAGGCTTTGAGGGGAGGTTTGAGCCCGCTTCGGCGGGCGCTTCCCATCCGCCAAGGTGCTAGTCATGAGCGCCAGAGTGCCAGACATTGAGGCGGGTCCTTGCTGGCACGGCAGCGGGCGCGAAAACACAGGTGGTCAGCAAGGCACACAGCCCGCCGCTGCAAGGCCAGGCGACGCGGAGCGCACCGCCATCGCGCAGCACAAGCAGCCGAGCGCGAACAGACCCGCCACCCGCACCCACCCTGCTGGCGCCGCCTGCGCGCCACGCGGCGCTGCTCTTGGGGTCCTCCTGCTGCAGCTTCAGGTCGGCTTCCTCCGCCTCCTTCCGCGCCGCCGCCTCCGCGCGCTGCGCGGCGCGCGCGGCGCGGACCTCCTCGCTTTGGAACGCGCGGCGGCGCTGCTTCACCTCCCGGCGTCGGGCGATGCAGTCGGGGCAGTAGCAGCTGCCGCGCCCGCCGCCGCCGCCGCCGCCATAGTCCTCTTCGTCGTCGCCCCGCTCCTGTTGGAACCTGCTGTACCTGTCGATTCGAAATTCAAATTCATGCAAGGCACCATGAGACGGACGAGGCTTTCTTGCACGCTCAACCGGGCAAAGCGCCTCGCGCTGACGGAGGAATGGAAATGGCCTGCTTTGTGAGGCCGACCTTCCCCACCTCATCCTCTCCACCTCAACCTCTCCCCCAGCCTGCCCCCGTCTTGCACCAACACAACCCCCTGGGTGCTCCCATGCATCCTCAACACCACGCCTTCCCCCAGGACGCCCCCTCTGCCGGCCCACGCGCTCTCGACGCGCCCCTCGTGCCTCAACCGCGGGTCCCTCGAGCCGCTCACATGCGCAGGAACGCGGCAAAGTCCATCCGGCCAAACGCAAACGGCCCGAACTCGTCCTCGCCCTCCTCGTAGCCGTCCTCGTCATCTGACCCATAGTAATCCGCATCCTCGTACTCATCCTCGTCCTCGTCATCGACGTAGTCGTAGCGACCCGCGGGGTACCCCGGACGGCTGCCGGACCGCTGGATGTGGTCCTTTGCGGCGTTGATCTGCTGCATCATAGCGTGAGACTCCCGGGAGCCCGCGTTCTTGTCGGGGTGCCTATTGCATGCGGTTGCACGGCGGGGCGGCGCAGGCCATGGGAGGCGGGAGGGGCGGGTGCGGGCGTGCGCGAGCAGCGCGCGCTCGGCGCTGGCAGCCGGGCAGCAGGCGGGGCGGTCGCTGCGGGGCGGGGTGGCGGCTGCCAAGGGGGGGGGGGCGTCCGCTGTGGGGACGGGCGCGACCCGGAACTGCAGTGGGGCACATGTGTGCTGTGCACGCGCGGAAGCATGCGTCACGCGCCCACGGTCCAGCGAGCGCACCATTGGATGGACAGCCGCTTGTAGGCCGCCCGGACCTCGTCGTCGCTCGCGCCCTCATCCAGGCCCAGGATCTTGAGCGCCGAGCTGCGGTTGCTCACCATGGCGGGCGAAGCTGCTGGCGCTGCAGCGCAGCTCGCTCGGGCCTACGCTGTCGCTGCTCGTGCCGTGCCGCGGGTTTGTGGGGTACGCGTGAGCGCGGCTGCGGCGTCTGAGCGCGGGCTGCTAAGAATGGCTTTTAAACTTCGTGTAGAAGTCTTCTAGGCTATCCTCAAACGGCCTGAGCTAGTTTCGATGGGGCTACGATATGTGAGTGGAGCCACAGTAACCTGGCTACGTGATGTAGGGCCGTCTTCAAAACTATACATAAAGTCTCAAGTGAATGTGTCCAACGGTGAGCACGTTCTGAAGCCGACCTCCGTCTGGAAACTGCAAGGAGGCTGGCTGTGATCTCGATTTTTTCTGAGTCCTAGTTCTGTGTACCTTCATCGCAAGCACAGCTTCTTGATATTGTTGGTACAAGCAGCAACCACTTGATCCAGATACCGTAAAGCACTAGACGGCATACCAGTGTCACTTCCCGCGTGACGACAGTGTTTGCGTCGCTTTTGTTGCTCCCCTGTCACGTTGCCATGACAGCCCCTCCTTTCACACCGTCTGCCGCAGCTGCTGACGACGTCGGCGCCGGCGACGCAGATCCCGAGCCGCAGCTGCACCTGTCGTCGCCCCACGTCGCGTCGGCGCTCGCTGCGCTGCACGCCGCATCCGGCGCTGCCCCTGCAGATCCCGGTGCCGCCGCCGCAGCGCCCGCGGCGGGGGTCGTTACGATATACGACTATGACCTCGTCACCATCCCCCTCGAGGTCTTCCAGGAGGCGGTCGCAACCACCATGGAGGCGCTCAAGCAGCGCCAGATGCAGCAGGCGGCCGCCGCCGCCGCCGCCGCTGCCGTGCCTGACTGGAGCCGGCTGCAGCACCACTCGCATCATCACCACCACCACCAGCACCACGACCAGCTCGCCCCGCGCCACGCGCCGCTGAAGCCGCCCGCCGCCGCAAAAAAGAAGCACCGGAAGAAGCCGCACGCGTCCGCCGGGGGCGGCGCGGGAGAGGACGACGGCGTCATGCCGCCCGAGGCGCTGTCGCTGCCTTTTGATGTGATGGCGATTGTGGCGCAGGGGCGGTGGAGCAAGCGGCTGGAGGAGGTGCTGGATGAGAAGGCTGTCACGTTGCCATGGGCGGTGCTGCGGCGGCTGAAGCGCCAGGCGGGGCGGCCAAGCAATGCGTACCTGCGGCACCTGCGGCTAGCAAAGGCGGCGGCGGGGTTGGAGGAGCAGGGCGAGGAGGCGGAGGAGGGGCACGTGGCCTTGGCCGCGGGCGGCGGGGGCGAGGGGGGGTTTGACTTGCGCGCTGAGGCAGGCGGCGGCGGCAGCGGCGGCAGCGCGGCGGCGCTTGCGGCGGCGGGAAGCGCGGGCGGGGTGTCGGATCCCGCGCTTGCATCGGTGGCTCTTGCAGTGCCGGGGCCTGGCGGCGGTGGCGGCGACTTGGACTTGTTGTTGGGCGGCGGCGGCGGCGGCGGTGGCTCGGGCGATGGCACGGGCGGTGGCGCAGGCGTTGGTACGGACCATGGCACGGGCGGCGTTGCGGGGCCGCATCTTTTGGGGATGCAGCTGGCGGCGCCGTCGGCGCTTGTATTAGAGGGCTTGGACGCTGAGCTGCCCCCCAACCAGTGATCAAAACGACACCTGCCATATCCAGCAGAATTATCACACCCCATCAAACAGGGCTCCTGTATTCTTTTTGCTGCACAATATACTGTGATCTCTGGCCTGGACCCGCTCCCGCTTCCCCCCGAAATTCCAGCAGGCAATATGTGTGTGCAGGCACATGTGCCATTTAGCCTGCTGTACTCCCGCACCTTGCAGGGTTGTGATGTGCATGTGAACGCTGCCAACAGCATACGTCTCTATTGCGCATGGCTGGCGAGCTGTATTACTATAGTCCACCAAACCCATCATGTCAGCCCTGGCCGCAGTCACGCAAAAGGCTCGCGTATGCTCAGGCGTCCCAAGAACCCTCTTTGGATGGTTCTGGTTCTTAGCTGCGGCGCGCCGGCAGGGATGCTGCATCGTCTTGCACTGTGCATGCTTCCTCACTTTCTGTCAGTAACACCATTTTACAGGACTTTGCTTTGACAGGGGTTTGCTAAACTTTGCATGCTGGGCGCACACCGCAGTGGCCGGACGCACATGTGAGAGTGTCTGCTGCTGTGTGGATGCGGTTGAGTGCAAAGCGTGTCGAATTCAGCAGAAAGGCAGCATCTTCGGCCGCGGACGCCGCGCAATCGGCAGCAGCGATAGCATACGCGGCGGTGGCAGCAGCTGCAGCAGTGCTCCCAGCTACGGTACCCCAGCACTTGCACTGGCAGCATTAGTCAGACTGCTGTGATCTTGACCAGAGTGCGTGGAGCTTCAACTGATCGATATCCGTCTCACAGTTGAGACACACAGTATGCAACCTTCAAAATTCGAACCCAGCACAGACCGGATGGACGATCTAGCCCGTCCGGTTGCCACGTCCGTGGCGCGCTCGCCAACCAAATACTATCCAGCAGCTATTGAATCCTCACCGGTGACAGCATCCATGTTTGCAGCAGCGCCATCTGCCACTAAGCCCAGAGCAAGCGAAGAATGGGATGCGCTCGTCCATCGGGCCGATGGCACCGGCTGCGGCACCGCGCTGCCGCCCCGCAGCAGGCCCACCCAGGCCACCACCCTGCCATGCAAAAGCAGCAGCCGCGAAAACGTCCCAGCCGCAGCCCTGCCCCCACCGGCGGCCACGCACGCCGCGCCACTGCCATTCTTGCAGCACCCGCGGCCCTTTGCTGCGGCCGCAGCCCCGCCACCGCCGCAGATGCAGCCGCGCCCCTGTGAGTTTGACCGCCGCCGCGACGGGGCCCTGCTGTCAATGCACAAGGAGCTAGGGGAGCTGCGGTCGGAGCTGGACGCGGCGCGGCGCGCGCAGCGGCGCGTGGAGGGCGATCTGGCCGGGGCAGGGGCGCGTCACGCTGCTGAGCTTGCCGCTGCAGAGGTGTGCATGGCCGCAGGGCCGCATGGCCGCATGGCCGCATGGCTGCATGGGGGTTTGGCCGCATGGTCGTACGGCCGCATGGCCGTTCGGCCGCGTGGGGGGCCAACCACAGAAACTGCTCGATTGCGGGGCATGTTGAATGTAGGCAGGGCGTGCATGCATGTGGTGCAACACACTCACAAGTGCATGCACGCCCGCCTGCAGCGGCCATGCGTTGACATGTGTTGAACATGAGGCTATTACCCCACCCGCCACCTCATCGCCCTTACACGTGATTTGCCCTGCGGCTTTCAACGGCCACCCATGCACCCATGCGCACGCAGACGCGTGCGTTGGCTCGGTTGGACGCGTTGCGGGCGCGGGCGGCTCTTCACAGCGCTCGTCAGAGGGAGCTGCTGCGGGCGCCGACCGCCGGCAGGTGCTTTGCTTCGTGGAGCGCGCAGGCCGCAGCCGCACGCCAGCGTCGTGCTGTGGCGCTCACTCGCCACGCGCGGAGGCGCACAGCCCAGGTGCTTGCGGCGTGGCAGGCGATCACAGCATGGCGCGCCGAGGGGCGCCGGCGGCTGTCGCGGGCAGCAAAGTGGCGCGTGCGCCGCGTGCGCGCGCTCGCCTTTTGGCGCTGGCGGGCCTTGGCGATCGCGCCTCTGTCTGCTGGCGGTGATTTGGCCTTGGCATGCGCACAGGCGGAGGCCAAGGGTCCGAGTCAGCTGGACAGTGCAGGTGCAAACAGCAGCTGCAGCCGTAGCAGCAGCGCAGGGATCCTGGAACCTTCTGCAGTCAGTTCCAAGGCCAATCAGGTGACCACGCGGCCGCGGCAGGCGCGCGGGACCGCTGGGGACGCACGTCCGCAGCTGGAGGACACGTCCGCGAGGCAGGTGGAGGGGCGGGCAGCGGAGCTCTGCCGGTTGGAGGCGGCCGTTGGCGCCTGGAGAGACGCGGTGCTGTGGGGCGTACAGCTGCGGCACGTCTGCCACATGCTCTCCCACGCCCGCCGCGCCCGCTGCCTGCGCG